CACTAGATGTATGAGGTTGAGTTTTACTCGGTACCTCATACGTGCCTGTAGTGTCCTAATTTTAAGCATTTTCAGCTAGTAAGTCTAGATACTTCATTGCTTCATTGAGGTCTTTATTTTCAAAGGTTTCATTGCACATTCACCATAAATACATAGGTCTATTAAATATTAATAGTATTTATGATAAATTATTGTCTTTTCTTGATCATGTTATGGAACATAAATTTCTAACATCTTCAGATCATAATCTCTACTCCAACAACTGAACAATTGAGGAAGTTAACCTTAAACATTAGAACAAAAATTTTGTTTTCTTCCAAGAAAAGCCCCATAATTATGTGTTGATACATTGAGCACAAAAGAAAGGTTTATTAATATCTTGTTAAGTGGTATTGAGCAGATATATAAATTTAATGAGAGTTTGTTTATCTGGATAGACTAATGGAAGTTAAATGATGAATACCTTGCTTTGTGGAATATACAAATTGTTTTTCTATTTTACGCTTTGATTACTAGGGACTAGTAATAAGCTGGTTGGGGGGTGTGATTAGTACTTAAAAGTGCATTTTTATCATGGTTTTATATCATCATTTTGCACTTGAAGTATCAATAACTCCTTAACTAAAATATGTTTTATAATAATGTATCTAATAATATAAGATACCTATAATTTGTGGTAAATGTCTATTTTTAATGCAGGCCTATCACATAAATGAAAGGATTGATTGATGACTTGAAGAACTTAAATTGCATGGATAAAGAGATGGTCAAACTTAGAGAAGAGATGTCGGTGCAATCCAAACCGGAACACTGTTCGGTAATTGGGTCATATCTGGAGCTACAGATCTCAGATTTAGGTCCAATTTATATGGATGGAAAGGTAAGACATAGGCCTACAACTTTCATATGGAGCCCAAGATCTAAAAAGGCCATTATCAAGTCCAAATTGTAGCAACAACAAAGAAGCCCGAATCTGTCTTCCAGCCCGAGCACTGTTCGGTATTTTGGCCATATCTGGAGTTCTAGAAGTCCAAATGAGCTGAATGTTTTACACAAGAAAGCTAAGACAATTGCCTACAACTTTCATGTTTGCAACTGGCTCCAGTTTTGACGTTATCAATGACGTTTTGGGCAGACAAGAGAAGATAAGGATTGTCACCAAGTCAAGAGTTGGCCACCCACTCATCAATTAGTCATCAAATCAATAGTTCCCAATTTTGGCCTATAAAAGGAGGTATTTGCCATGCATTTAGGCATCTTGGTTTCCAGATCAAGATCATGCTCTTCCTTTCTCTCTTTGTATTTTTTGTAATGTTTATGCTTTGCTTTCATTAATATTAAGTTTATGCTTTTCATTTCCTTTTCTTTACTTAGTTAACTTTTATGTTCTTATTTTGTTTATCTATTTTGCTTTCTTTCATTATGTCTAGCTAAGTTAGTTATGTCAAGGTGAAAAGGTTACACTAATGGTGTAACAATAAGTATAATGTAAACTTAATATGGACTTTAATGTTTGATACTAACATGTTTTATATTTGTTATCTTGTTCACTCTTTAATACTTTGCTTGTTAAATGACTAATCTTGATTTATGTTGTATAACACTTGGTACAACAAATGCTTGGCACTTTCATAGCCCATAATGTATGGTATAACCGACACTTGAGCTATGAAAGGAACTTGATTTGTTGTTAACATAAGTTATAATCATGAATGCTTGACGAGATTTACAAGTATTAGCATTAATTGAATAAGATGACTAATGTAATCATGTTAACAATATATAATCTGATTGGAACCTCCTTTGTGTGTGGTTTCCAATTCAATAATAAGAGTTTATACTATACTTGTTTGGTATACCATTAGTGGAACCTCTAACCTTGACATTTGCTATTATTATTGTTTAATCCTTACATTAATTTTCCATCTCCAAGTTCTCATCATCTTTTTCTTCTTCTCTTTCTTTATTATTATTATTATTATTACTACTACTACTGATTGGAACCTCCTTTGTGTGTGGTTTCCAATTCAATAATAAGAGTTTATACTATACTTGTTTGATATACCATTAGTGGAACCTCTAACCTTGACATTTGTTATTATTATTATTATTATTAGTATTATTATTATTGTTATTATTATTATTGTTGTTGTTGTTATTGTTATTGTTATTGTTGTTATTTATAATTTGTACAAATAACCTCCCTGTGGTTCGACCCCGGTCTTGCCGGGTTATTTATTACTTCGACACTCCTGCACTTGGGAGAAGACATCAATCTTTTCGTCGTGTCATATGACATAAAAAAACAAAAAGATATGCGAGAGAGATAATGGTCTTGAAGGATGAAATGAGGTGGCTGTTTGGCGAGAATTTAAACTGCCATTCATCTCAGGGGATATATGAATGATATATATATTGAGCACGTGACGTCTGAGCGGTTCTCACAATGCTCACAATCTGGTGCCGACAACTGAAACCAACAAATTCATGGTTCGGTGACCACGCATACTAGTGATTTTGTCCAGTTCAGTGCATATGCAAAGCGGATGGTAAGATTTGTTTAAATAAAATATATCATTAATTAATTTGTTGTTGCTTATAAATATATTTAACTTGCAACCTGTTTTTTTCTTTACAGGCTATGTCTCTTAGACGTGAGCCAAGTTTAATGGAGCTATTTGTAGAAACATATGTGTGGAGTCAAGACCGCCAAAAGAGGGTGAAGCAGTTCGTGGACAACCGTGCTTAGCACTTCGTGGTATGTTCGTTCAATCATTTTATTTCATAAGTTATTATTTTATTGAATTAAATATGATGATTTTTTTTTAAATTTTCAAGGGACCTATAATAGCCGGTTAAGGAAAAGATGTGGGGAGGATCCTTCGATCTATTTGGATTTCGATTTGGATTTGTGAATGGGGGTAGGATCATTTAGTGAACCTGATAAGAATCGGGTCTATAGGCTCTCCAATACTACGATAGAAAACTTGCGGTCGACCTATTGTGTCTCAATCGTTGGGAGCTCTCCATCAGTATCGAGTACCTAGTCTGAGTTCATGGCCTTGAAATAATAATATGAATGACTCTCAATGGATTATGATCAGCTCCGTCAAATGATCATGGAGAGTAGATCAAGGATGGGTGATGATATATGTGCAACTCTTTTTTGGCGTTACGATCCCGAGAACAACCAGCCTCCTCGTCTTCCTCCTTCTCCTCCTCCAGCTCCACCGTTATTTTAGTTTAATTTTGTTTTTAAAACACATTAAATTTTAATGAATATTTTGATGAATATTATTTAACATTATTTTTATATTTTTAATGTTTAATACTATTTTATTTGGTTAATTAGTTTTTTTTACTATTAATAAATAATATTTTTTTAAACATTTTACATAAATGTCGACGGCTTTACATACGGAATCAGGTCATTGGTATTTTATCAAGAGTTACAACAAAATTACCACTCATGCCACAATCACTGATAGATATATTCTGTCAGTGTTTATTGTTATTATTACCGACGGACTATATTTGTCAGTATTTGACAAGGAGTTCTGAAATATTGACCATTCATGCCACAATCACTGATAGATATTCCGTTGGTGATTACTATGAACATACAAATAGAATTATTATGTCTGTAAAGTTCTCGCAGGAAATTTGTTTTGGCTCGCTTCGCCATCTGTAAGACTGTTAGTGTTGGGTTTTTTTTTTAATTTCAGATAGAATTACTAACAATCAAAATTTCAACAGACGTGTTCTATTGGTGAGGTTGTCGAGAAATATTTTACCTATGCATTGCACGCCTTACACAGACGGAATGAACCCGTCAATAAAACTATTTAATGGTGTAGTGCATCATGTCTGCTTTATCCTTTCCATATATCAGCTTGCAAATCTTCTTAACAAGCCTCCTCACGAGCATCTTCTTACTCGATCATGCAGGCCCACCAAATTTAAGGGAAGGTGTTAGATGGATTTCCTCCACTCTTTATATAAGTTTTGATTATTAGTAATTATATTTTTAATGCTATTTATAATTCATGTAACAATCAAAAACCATTTTCTACACCAGGTGTTTGTCTTTTTTTAAGAATGAGTTATGTTATGCAGTGGGCAGAAGTGTATAAGGAGTTAAAAGTATGCAGCCAAGCATGCTTTGACCATTCTGAACAACATGCTGCTTCCAAAAAGGCTTTTATGCTTGCATGGAACAATTGACGGGTTTATTGGATGCAGGTTACTATATTTATTTTTATTCCATGCTTTATAGCTAATATCTATTATTGCACGTGTTCTCTGCAGCTCTTTTTTATGCTTTTTAAAACTTGAAACCACTCCTTTGATTAAGGAAAATGTTGATAAATTAAGGTTATGTTTGTTTGCAGGAAAATTATTTTTTTTTAAAAAAATAAATTTCAGGAAAATAAATTTCTAGAAAATGAATTATTTTTCGATGTTTGGTAGTGTTATGAAAAATGAATTGGAAAACACTTTCAAGTGTTTGGTTATGTTATGGAAAATGAATTAAAAAATAATTTATTAATGTTTTATTTTTCTCAAGTTTATTAAAATAATGAGGAACAAATCTTACAATTTAAAAAGTTGAATAAGAATGAAATTGAAAAAAATATAATTTCATAAATTATCTCAAATAAAATAAATAATAATCAAAATAATAAAGATCAAATCTAAAAAAAAAAGATGAAGAAATTAAAATAATAATAATTAACATTTCATAAAGTATTTCAAATAAAATAAGTAATAATCAAAAGAATGAGGATCAAATTTGATAGATAAAAAATTTCAATAAAAAAATAATAGGAGAAAAGCAAATAATAATTATAAAAATGAGGATCAAAGTTAATATAAAAATTAAATTTTAAGAAATAAAATTGAAAAATAAATATTCAAAACAAAATATATATAGCAATCAAAAGTTTAAGGATCAAATTTGATATAATCAGTAAAAAATGATATTTTTAAATTTTTCACAACTTCCGGAAAGTGTTTTCCGTCCAAATTTTTCAAGAAAACACTTTTTCTAAAAACCAAGCCAAATTTTCCTTTGACTGAAAAGTATTTTTCATTGACCAACTTTCCTAACAGCAAAAAAACACAAGAAAGTTTGGAAAGTGATTTTCCGAAAACCACTTTCTTGAAAAAAAATACAACAAAAAAAAAATACTTTCCTGAAAACCAAGTCAATTTTTTCTTTGGCTGAAAAGTGTTTTTTGTTAACCAGAAGGTGTTTTCTGTTAACTGGAAAATGTTTTTCGTTGACTAAAAAGTGTTTTTTGTTGATTAATTTTTCTAATAATAAACAAACATAAAAAAATTTAAAAAATAATTTTTAAAAAACTACTTTTCAATCAACAATCATGGCTAATAAAGAAATTAGAAAACAAGCTACAGAAGGAGATTGAAAGGCATTTGGACACTCAACTCGTCCTTGGATATTTTTTTTCTTCTTTTTTTCTTAATCGTCCTGCAAGTATCAAATGATGTTGTCTTAATTATATTCGTTGTGCGTAGAAAAAATAAATGTACCTGAGCTCCAATATTATAAAACGTGAAGGCTGAGCTCGCTCAAGTACCGGTAATTCCCTGGTTGACTGAATTGCTAGTCACTCGTCGCCGGGGATGTGATATTTACTTGATTGTCTCGTACTAATTGCAGTTTATGACGTGACCATTGGCTACAAATCTTGGTGCCCATCTTTGTTGGACAATGTCTTTGGGGTGAACCCTTCAGAAGTTCATGTTCATGTCAGGCGAATAGCCCTTGATGACTTCCCAACATCTGAAAAGGAGGTTGAAAAGGAGGTTTCTGCACGGTTGATGAATACATTCCAACTGAAGGACCTATTACTTTCTGATTTTTATTCGCAAGGCCATTTCCCTCATCAAGGAACCGAAGGAGATCTTTCAACGCTGAAGTGTCTTGTAAATCTTGTGGCCGTAACGATGCTAATTAGCACATTTACTTCGTTTACTTTTTTCTTGTCGATTTGGTTCATAATTTATGTATCTCTAGTGTGTTGTTACCTGTCATCTGCAACCTTCTTCAATGTTCGTCCCAAGCCTCTTATATAGGCAACATAGAACATCAACTGCCAATTAATTCAATTTTACACTTTCTCCTTATTTTACCTATGCTCCCTTCACATCATGAAACATCTCTTGAAGTTCCTGGTTTGAAAAGAAAGCTGAAAGTTTAGGGGCTTTTATTTTCCGGTCCCAAGAGGGTGTTATTGTTGCAAGACTTACACAACCAATTTCATTTTGGATATGATCTTCGAAATTGTGCACGCACTGGTTGGCGTAATCTCATTTTTGCCTAGAAATACCTTTTGCCACAGCTTTCTGTTGGGAATTTCCGACCGGTGATGTACTGATATTTACTCATAGGAGAGCCAAGCACACTAACACAATATTTAACGTGGTTCGGCAAAACTGCCTACATCCACGAGAGAAGTCAATAATTAACGTGGTTCGGCACAACCGCCTACATCCACGGGAGAAGTCAATATATTTAGAGATAGAGAAAGAATACAAAACAAATACATGGAGGAGGAGGATTACACCCTCTCATACTCAACTCTCAACTCTCTTTGCTGCACTTGCAGCTGCTGCAATGGCAGCAAGGCTGCTGCCATTGCAGCTCTCTCTTCCTCTCTACTCTCTTCACATTTTCATAATTCTCTTCACTCATTTTGCTCTCTTGCATATGCCTCTATTTATAGGCATTCATGGAGGCTTTTCTTCAACAAAGGTGGCTGCCAACTCCAACTCTTCTTCAACAATGGTGGCTGCCAACCTTTGACATCTTGGATGAGTGCACATGGTTGGTGCAATAGCAAATGGTTGTTGCACATTAATGGCAACCAACCTAACAATCACCCCCTTTGCCATTCATGTGGGGCAACTGTCCTCATTCTTCTTCAACACAAGCTTGCATCTTGCAGCTTTTCTAAGCTTTCCATTTTGAGAGCTTTTGTAGCCAAGTTTACAGGTACTTGTTAAACCCTTCAATCATCAGAGTGACCTAAGCACACCTTTTCTCACACAAAAGGATCACTATAACCAGATGGTCTGCCACATCACATCTGAATAGTGTTAACGCTTGTCTCTGGAACAACATTCCCCTTCGAGCGTATCAACCACGCTCAGTCCGAAATGATTCCTCAAGCCTCACATCAAGGCTTACAACACCCCCTCAAACGGATATTTCAAGTGCGACAGTCATTATCTGAGTATCTCAATATGATCATAAGCTCACCACTCTTCCAAGAGTCTACTCATCCAGGAGTTGTGCCTGCCCTCTGTTCCACCCTAGGAACCACGCCTTACTTCTCCATGAGTCTCTCGCTCTTAGTCTCAAGAGTCTAGGTAGCTTTCCACCTTTAACCATGGGGGCAGCCCATAAAAGGTTGATCCATATCTGTCTTCATACTCTGAGTATTACAATGCCATTACCGAGCTCACCACCTTGACAAGAGTCAACTTGTTCCCGGAACCTGCGCATGCCCTCTGCTCCTTCATAGCAGCCACGTCTTAATGCTCCACAAGTCATCCACTTATTGTCCAAGGCAAATGTCTTCTAGCTCATTGATCTTTAGCATAGGGGCAATATCCATGAAAGTCAATCCTGCATTTGTCTCCATACTCATCATAGCCCTTTTATTGGCTATCCATCTGTCCACTCATACCTAGCCATCACATTGGCTTTGGGGCATTCTGAACTGGGCTCCTTCCACGGCCCTCACACCTTCTCCTGAGGTGTCTCCGCTCGTCGTCATACGGCGGTCTGATCATGGGCTCATCTCATAGCCCTCACACCTTCTCTTTAAGGTGTCTTCGCCTTTTATAGGCAGTCGCATCCTCCTTCAGCTAAGATGCTTCAAAGTGGCTCCATAAATTCTTTGCCACTAATTACATAGAAAGAGAAAGTTGCGGTATACTCCTCGCAATCCTCCACCTCAATTTCTATGTTTGGAGCTTCTACGCCTTTTCTGCTTAACAGCTCCACCCGCACCAACTCCCTTTGGTGTCTTCGCCTTTCATCATAGGCGGTCGCCTTTTATCACAGACGTTTGCACCCCCTCAATTAGGTGCATCTGCAACAGCTCATCCTTCCATCCTTGCATGCATTGAAAGGTCCTCGCTTGTTGCCTTTATCAAGAGCACAAGAGACTTTTGTTGTACAACTTTTTCATAGTCTCTGCTCTGAGCTTCATCTGGGAACTCTTCTTCTCCTTGCACCTGTTGTCTCATTATAGTACCTCGTTGGATCCTCCGAGTACTCCTACACAATCTTCATGTGCTCTCGTGCAATTTTGGTTCTCCAGATTTCTCCCTATTCCTTGCTTATGTTTGACAGCAGCTCATCCTGTCACAACATCTATCCAAGTTTAAATAGGGTGCCAATCTTTATCCCTTTGCTGTATTTCTCTTTCATTATCAGGGTCTTCATCAATTCTCCCCTCGAGAAATTATAGTCACCGAATCTAACTTCCTTGGAGAAATCACCACTCCATCAAATCCTTGATCATACGGAACCCAACTGTTCCTTTGTGCCGTCATCCTGCTAGTCTTCAACAATTTCATAACAAACTGTCACATATATGAAAATAGTACTGTATGGATAATCCTTCCACTAAACAAGTTCCCAGGAAAGATTGGAGGGGTCACAACAGTCCCGCTTAAAACCCAATCTCCTAGCCAGAACTTCTTAGGCCATATCTATCCATCGTACTGTCTTTTCGTATATACAACCATTTGCTAGCTTTGTTGCGGCTTTCCTTTACAAGTGATCTGGGGTATCCTGGTTTTATACCTGATTTCTCAATATCTGGCGAGACTACCAGTGCTCAGATTCGTCAAGATTGGTCTTCATCAAATTTCACTCTCCACCTCAAATTGTTCAAATGATCGGGTGTTTAGAGTGTTCCAATTTTAACTTCCCTCAAGGCAATTAAAATTCCCCACATAATAGTTCACCACATGTAATTGGGCAAACATGCGTGATTTCTTCTTCTTCAGCTCCATCGACCACCATGATGACCATCATATGCCTCCTGATCGGGCAATCTCTCTTTAATAATTCATCACTGCCATTTATGATCTCAATCTCAATGATCGGACCATACCATTGCATCCAGAACGATCAAATTAGCTGGAAACAAGTCTGAAATCGTCCAAATCGCACTTCAGACGGCTAAGATTTGATCAAAACAATTTTGGCCTGATAAACGGCCCAGATTCAATCTCAGAACCGGTTGCACGTAGACTCCGCCACACAGGATCAAAATCCAGGGAGCTGACGTGGCTATAATGACGTGTCATCCACGTAGGACATATAGGTCAACCAAATCTGACGTGGTAGTTTGACTGGTCAGAGTGCTGATGTGTCAGGTGACGTGTCTGATGACTGTGCAGAACTGCTGCGACGTGCCTAATGACGTGGCAACCCACTCTGCCTTGACTGGTCAGAGTGCTGATGTGTCAGGTGACGTGTCTGATGACTGTGCAGAACTGCTGCGACGTGCCTAATGACGTGGCAACCCACTCTGCCTTGACTGGTCAGAGTGCTGATGTGTCAGGTGACGTGTCTGATGACTGTGCAAAACTACTGACGTGGACAGTCACCCTGCCGGCGCGTGCGCCGGTTTCCGACGTCCGATTTCGACGCGGTTTTCACCAGTGGCTTCGTCTCTTCCTCCTCTACACAGTGGTATGGTCAAAACACAATTTTGACAACTTTCATTTTTGAGCAAAATCAAACACCACTTTAAACCGAACGCTCTGATACCAATTGTTGGGAATTCCGACCGGTGATGTACTGATATTTGCTCATAGGAGGCCAAGCACACTGACACAATATTTAACGTGGTTCGGCAAA